TCGTTTATCAAAGACCACTTCTGTGTGATAACCAACCCCGCCCACGGGGTTGGTTGTCACATAGTGCGAGACTGGTTGTCACATTCCTTGGTACGTTTGGATTATAACCAGCTTAAGTAAAACAAGTACAATTTAATTTCGTTTATATAATTCTAAGAATAATCTGAAAAAAAAAAGAAAATCCTGTATATTGAAAAAAATAAAACACAATATACTAAAAAAGTTTTTTGTAAAATGACTCTATAAACATATTTAATGTAGCGCTATAATTGTTTTTAATAATGGTGTTTTATAAATTGTTGCATGAAAAACACAATTCACAAATAAATTGTTGTAAGCCTGGTACACACTCTTCATGAGCCCATTTTTGGCAAACCTGACATTGAATCCACTGTTCTCTTGACCTATTATTAGCAAATGATTTAAAACAATTGACGCATAGATACTCTTCATCTTCAGATAAATATAAGACTGAAGAAGTTTTTTTTGTAGCAAGATTTGACTTTATCATTTCTTTTTTACTTCCATTCATTAATGATTTATGGTTCTTTTTATTTTTTTTCCTCGTTTTTGTCTTTTTATGACTAGCAAACTAGTTTTTGATGTCGACCTTTTGATGTAGATATTTTACAAACTTTTCTTTCTTCATCCAACCACTTGTATCGCTATCTCCTGCACTTCCTGTTGGTGCTCCTATAAGGAAATTATCTTTAAGAGGAAAAATAAAAAAAGGCAGAATGCTATTTCCAATAGCATTTATTGTGCAAGCTAATGTTACAAGAGTTCCTCTTTCAGCTGACGTGATGGCACCTACTTGTTTTAATCCTTTTTTGGCAATAACCTTTTTAGGTCTCTGTACAGTAGTTACAGCAGCTTCATCCATGTTCCAAATGTCATTTGGTGAGAACGAGTAGTTTTGCAAACAGTGCTACAAATTGCTAAAAAATGATGCAACATTCTGCTTATTGAAACTTGTCGCTCGACTTAAACTAGTAGCTTCAGGTTGCCTAATCAAAATATTTGAATAGCGCTTTAAAAATCCTGTAAACCAATCCTTATCAGCTTGTTCCTTTAGAACCCAAGAATCAGGAAATTTTATATTATTTTTAGTTGCAAGCTGGAAAGCAAGCTTTTTTACTTCAGTAGGAGTTAAACCAAATTAAATTTTAGCTGCTCACAACAGATAGGTCACAAGTTCTTTCTCTACTTTTTCTGGCAATATCAGTCGATTTTTATATCCAAAAATATTCACGTAGGGAGAGTTTTGATTTTTGTCAATTAGATCTGTTATAGAACCATATGATGGATTAGTAATAACAATTTTTTTACAATAACGCGTTAATGTTCTGTAATTAATGCTATGGTTTTTTGCTGCTGATCTAATAGAAATGTTATTTATCTTTACATCTTCAACAGCACGCATAACGACATCTCCAGAAGTATAACCTCTATTAGTTTTTCTTTTAAAATTTCGTACCATGTTTTTTACTAAGCATAGAAAAGTATTTGCAAATAATGAATACACAAAACATCTCAAAAGAATACACTCAAAAGTATACTCAAAAGAACATCTGTATTTCTTATTCTATAATTGTATTAAAAATTTCTTTGGATCACAATTTGACGTTATAAAGATTGAAATTAAACAAATATAACACTTTGAATTTAAACTTTCAAATTAAAGTCTTAAAAATTTAAATAACCCTCAATCAATTCAGACAAATAAATAAGGAATATCTATAAGCGGCGTTTAGTTTACAGTACACGGAATCGAGGCAATTGTGACAACCAACCCCATATATTTTGTGACAAGCAACCCCTTCTATGTAAGTAGCAAGACACCTGTAAATTTACCTAAAAGCGTGCAAATTTCATAAGAGTTTTTTGTGAATTAAGTTACTCAAATCAAAAAAAAAAACTTAAAAGATAAACATTCGAAACACAATAAAATACATTTCGATTTGTAAAAGAAAATTTCTAAGTTGGCGAAATTTTACTTTTTCATGCCAAAAACCTATAAAAACGAATAACTTTTCTTCTACACACTAGAAAAAGATGAAAATTACTGTGATAATGTTTTTTTTATAAAACATTTCCATTGTATGATTTTAAAGTTCTATTAAATATATATATTTATATATATATATTTATATATATACTTATCTACTTTTGCGTTTTTGCTGCATTTTTGTTTGCGTTTTTGCTGCAAAATTCGTTGCTTTTTTTTTCTTTTTTATTTTTGCTATATATATATATATATATATATATATATATATATATATATATATATATATATATATATATATATATATATATATATATATATATATATATATATATATATATATATAGCAAAAATAAAAAATAAAAAAAAAGGAACGAATTTTGCAGCAAAAACGCAAACAAAAATGCAGCAAAAACGCAAAAGTTGCTGTAAAAAGTAGATAAGTATATATAAATATATATATATATATATATATATATATATATATATATATATATATATATATATATATATATATATATATATATATATATAAAATATATATATATATATATA